TTCTAATTGGTCTTCCATGATAGGTGATCTGGCCTTTTTCTCTTGCTGCCTTTAAGATTTTTTTTCTTTTATGCCTACTTTGTTTAGGCAAATTATTATGTGTCTAGGAGTTGGTCTTCTCATTTATTGTCTTGCAGGGGTTCTCTGAATGTCTTGGGTTTGAATTTTTGCATCACTGATTAGATATGGGAAGTTTTCTTGAATCATCTCATGGAAAGTTTGTTCCAATGTGGTCTCTGTCTCTCTTTCTGCCTCAGGAAAGTCAATTACTCTTAGGTTCGGTCTTTTGAAGTAATCGCTCATCTCTTGAAGGTTTTGTTCTGTCTTTTTGAGCTTGTTTTCTGTGTTTTTAACATTTTGGGTTAGTTCTATATTTTGGTCCTCAAGCTCTGAGATTCTTTCTTCTGCTTGGGTAGTTCTGCTTTCCATGCTTATCAGTTTGTTATTTATTTCACTCACAGTATTCTTTATTACTGTTATCTCAGTTATCAGCTCCTTTGTACTTTCTTCTTGTCTCTCCTCAATTCTTTTTATCTCTCCATTAATGTCTTGATATCTAGGTTTATAGTTTGAGAGCAGTCATTCTGGGGGCTCTTCATTGTTTGCATTCCGAAGGCAGTTTTCTCAGTGTCTGTCCTTCCAGCGGTCTTTGAGAGACCCATATTCTTCTTTTGGTTTTTCTTCCTTTGTGTAGATTTTTCTCTCTTTCCCCCTTTCCCTCCCCTTCTTTAATTCTGTTTTTCAGGGAAGGTGGGGTTGCTTTTGCTTTGCTTGTGCAATCTCCTGTTCTTCCTTATGAGGTTCCTCTGGCTTTGTTCACTTTTGAGGTTGGAGTGTGGACTGCAAACTGTACTTTTTGCAGTTTTGAGATTTGATTGAGGGGGAAGCTGTGATTCAGAATTTATCTGCTGATTCCAGCATCCACCAACAGGTGTATGGGCACACTGGAACCTATTTCTCACTGCCTTACAATCTGTTTGTGCAGTGGGATGTAGGTTTGGTCCCTGGAACAAACGGAGGTACAAAAGAGGAAATAATGGAGGAAGGGGGGGTCAATAGGAAGTTGGAAAGAGAGAAGAGTGAGAGGGAAAACAGACATACATACCAACTAACAGGTGAAAAAGAGACACAAGGCTGGCAAGAAGTGAAAAAAACATGCAAGCAAAATTCCCTAAAGAATACTGGTAGCTACACAAAGACAGACCAATAAAATCATACATTTTGATGCGTTTTGCCTAACACAGACAGATAATGTAAGTCAAAAAGCAAACAAAAGTGAGCAAAACAGTCAAAATGATAAAATCAAAAGTCAAAATAAGAAATCAGACTAGCTCTGGAATCTTTCCTGAGTGTCTAAAGTCTCTTCAACTCTGATCTCCAGCCTCTCCCCTTTGTGCAGACAGCTAGATTTACTCACAGCTTGGTTTTGTTCTTTTAGCCTGCTGCCTGGGAGGTCTGTGACACTTAGTTGCCTTTGTCTGATTCAGCGTAGGGGAGGGGCTTTGTCTCCTGCTTTGCCATGTTACCTTAGGAACGGAGGTGGATGCTGCTCATAGGTGGGCGGGGCAATGCAAGTCTCTGCCTGGAGAATGGCTGAGCTCGCAGTTTCTCTTTTGCGGATCTTTTCTTTCCGCTCATCTGGGTCCCTGGGCAATCCACTCTGATGGACAGTGGTGGCGTGGGAGGCACCGGGGATCAGCTGCACAGCTGGGTGCTGGATCCGGGGTGCCACCAGCGGGCTGGGGTGGAGGAGGGGGTTGGAGTTCCCTCCTCTGGAGCTGAGAGCCTCCGATCAGCACCTCCTTAAGATATGCTGTTTCCTTACACAAGCATGGGGTCACGCGCTGAGTGCCTCAGCCAGGGTGGGCCTAGTACGCCAGAGCTCCAAAGCTCCAAAGGGCAGGCCGTGAGTGGTGAGAGTGGCCCTGGGCCCCTCACAGGGTACTTCAGCCAGAAATGGAACCGGTATCTCTGAGGGGCGGTGCCCAGAGCCTCCCTGGGTGACCGGCAGCTTGGTGCTGGGTGCTGGGTGAGACGATGTAGCCAGGGAGGGAGCCGAGACCCGAGACTCCTGCGCGGGCGGGAGTCACGTATAGTGGAGCAGCAGCAGCTGGGCCCTGCAATATCCGGCCCTGCGTGGGACCGAGGGTCCCCAGGCCTCAGATCAGTGCGGCTGGCCGTGGGCAGGGGGATGGGGGAAGAAAAGTAAGAGTCTTTTTGGGAACTCAGGTTCGGAGCATCTTACAATTCCACCTATGCCGTTGCCATCTTACCGGAACTTCCCCACACTCTTTGTTTTAAAATCCTTTATCTTAAATTATTTATTTATTCCTTCTAGTTGCCATGTTAGAGTTACTCATTTGCATGCTTTTCATGATAGAGAGACCATTTTGACAGCTAGTTGTAACCAAGTTTAAGTTCCTGCTACATCTGAAAACCACCTGCCTCAAACCTGGCATCATCATCCAAAGTATATTTTGGAAAATTCCCCAGGAGGTGATGGGTAAAAGGGCCCCAAGATCAAATAAGCCCAAGAAACATTGCATTCTCTATAGCATTCTCTTTGAGATTCTCTGTGCATACTCATGCATGAAAAATTCTACTGGAAGAAAGTCTGCTCAGTATATTTTTATCATTGTGTTAAAAACTTATGTGCTCCTCAAACATGTTTTCAGAACATTTAGTAACACAATGGCATCCTGTGGGCCATCCTTTGAGAACAGTCATGTAAGCAGACACGGCTTGGGTGCATGTTGAGGGGAAGCATCGTGTACTCTGCCCTCGCCCTCCCTTTGCCCCACACTTCAACACGAACCTTCTTTTTTTCCCTTTCTAGACTGACGGATCCCATTCCCACCACGGAGACTTCAATTGCCCCCCGCCAGAGGCCTAAAGCTGGGCAGACTCAGCCGAACCCAGGAATCCTTCCCATCCAACCAGCCCTGACGCCTCGGAAGAGGGCCACAGTTCAGCCCCTACCTCAGGCTGCAGGTCAGTAGCTAGATGGGTTTGAAAGTCTGTGCCCCTCTTTGTTATCCTGGATGACAGGGAAGTCTTGAAAAGACTGGTTTTGCTTTAGGAATGGAATCCAGAGACACAAAGAATAACGATTTTCCTTGAGCAACAGGAAGTGAGCTTCTGTTGAAATTGTATGGCAAATGGCTGGCAAAGGGGAGACCTTACTGAATTCTAAAATGGATCTCTAAGACCACTCAAGCCTGTTGTCTCTGTGTTTTCTAGTCTTGGCCCTGATTTTGTGATTTAGTTCATTTATTCCATACCTACCTCTTTATATCTTTTCTTTTTCTTCTTCCTTTTTTTTTTTTTTTGCCTTGAAAGAAACAAGACTTACCTTTTTTGGCACTCACAGAGGAACATTGTGTCTTTAATAATTTGTCTCCTAAAGTATCTGTCACTCCTCCAAGTTTTGACATTCTGTTTCTCATGAGATGAGTGACCTTTGTTTCATAAAAAGGACTGGTTTGAAATATCAAGAAACTGAACACAGCCATTACTTCTCCTACCAGGAAGCTGTTTTTGGTGAATTTGGTGACAAACTACTCATAGGCAGGCATCCAGACTGGGATACGCTACATGCAAAACGACCAAAGAATGCATTTGTCATGCAGCATGCTAACAGGTGCAAAGGTTGTATGTACTGTAGCATCAAAGGAAGTTGAATATGTAGGTACTTGGGTGCTGACTAAAGGAGTGGTTAATAGACAAAGATGTTAGGTAAGGGAAGACTTTCTGAAGGAAGTAAGTATTGACCCATGTTATTGAACCTTGTTTGAAAAATCTGAAGCACATCGTTTAGCAAGAAGATGGCACATGTGGAAAGACAGTGAGGAACACATGGATCTTGGGAGGATCTCTGCCCACTTGTCACCCACTCTATTGCTTTGGTAAGACAGAAAGCCATTTTTGTCTGGAAGCGTTTTGAGCCCTTATGTGGAGTTTATTCTCGTTGCAGGACCCGGCAATCCGCCTGGCCTTTTAGCCAGTGTTCCCCAACCAAAGGCCCAGCCTTCACCCAGCCAGCCTCTGCCACAGCCTCAGGCCAAGCAACCACAGGCCCCGCCCACCCTGCAGCAGGCACCTCCCACTCAGGCCCAGGGGCTGCCCACTCAGGCCCAGGGGCTGCCCGCTCAGGCCCAGGCCACACCCCAGCACCAGCAGCAACTCTTCCTCAAGCAACAGCAGCAGCAGCAGCCACATCCGCAGCAGCCGCAGCCACCGCCACAGCAGCCGCAGCCACCGCCACCACAGCAGCCGGCAGGCACGTTCTACCAGCAGCAGCCCCAGCAGGCCCAGACTCAGCAGGTGAGGTGGTCAGAGGGTCACCCTTGCTTTGCATGTCTGAGTCACGACCCACAAGGCCCACTAGGTAAAGGTCTCTTCCCAGAGAGCCACTAACCAGGACATCATTGCTTCTCGTCGTTGTAGATGCTAAAGCAGAAGTGGATCCAAGCCTTTTACCCTTCTTCTCAGGCCTGAGGAGTTCCTCACCTGTTGAGGAAGTTCAGGAAAGGAACTCCTTTTTAAGGACTCTTTTTTCTTCCTTTTTTTCTGCATAACGGGCAGCACCATTATCATACTGTGGGAAAAATAACAATAGGATCTTCTTGTTACCAAATATTCAGTAGTGTTTGTTTCTCATGTCTCATAATTTAAGCTGACTTGTTTGAATCGGTATCCAAACAAGGTCCACAGATTGCATTTGGCTTGTATATATTCTTTTCCATTGTCTTTTCCTATTTTTTTTTTACCATGAATATACTACTTTTATCATGATTGATATATCTTTTAAGTACCCCTTTATCCCTAGGTTCTTTCTCCTTCTTTTTTCCCCCTTTTGTTATGTATTTATTTTTAAGAAACTGGGTTTTGTGTCCGGTGGAATTTTCCACATTCTGAATTTGGCTGATTGCATCCCTGTGCTGTCCTTTGATATGTTTGACCGTCTTCTGGAGATAGTGGTAATGTTTTGAGGCTTACTCAGGATTTGACTCAGCTTGACAGTTCTTTGTTCTTCCTGTTGTATCACATCAGGAGGCCTTTAATGTGTGGTTGTTCTCTCTTTTATTTATATTAAGATCAATCAGTATACTTAGGTGTTGTCTGTACATATGTTTGATGTTCACTGTTAGTATGATAATTTCCCAAGTTTGTTAATTCATTAGGGATGGCAAAATGATATTCTAGCATCCTCTCTTCATTTAGGGGCTGGGATCTATCTTCCTTCCTTCCTTCCTTCCCTCCTTCCGTCCAGGTTTCACTCTGTCACCCAGGCTGGAGTGCAGTGGCACGATCACAGCTCACTGCAGCCTTCACCTCCTGGGCTCAGGAGATTCTTTTTTTTTTTTTGAGTTGGAGTCTCACTCTGTCGCCCAGACTGGAGTGCAGTGGCCGCTCCTGGCCACCGAAGCCTCGACCTGCTGGACTCCGGCAATCCTTCCGCCTCAGCCTTTCGAGTAGTCGGAATTACAGGCATGTGCTACCACACCCGGCTGATTTTTTGATTTATTGTAGAGATGAGGTCTTGCTGCCCAGGCGGGTCTCGAACCTGCGAGCTCAGGCAATCCACTCACCTCAGCCTCCTAAAGGCACAGGATTACAGGCTGAGCCACCAAACCTGGCTCAGGAGATTCTTCTACCTTGGCCTCCCAAGTTGCTGGGACTGTAGGCACATACCACCATGCCCGGATAACTTTTAATTTTTATTTTTTTAGAAATGAGGTCTCACTGTTTCCCAGGCTAGTCTTGAACATCTGGGCTGAAACAATCCTCTTGCCTTGGCCACCTAAAATGCTGAGATTACAGGTGTGAACCACTTCACCTGGCTGCTGGAATTTTTCTATGAAGAAATTTTTTCATCAACTCTTCAGTTACCTTGAGGTCCTGTTTGTATGTAAAAGGCAGAAAAAATGCTTGATTATTTCTCCTTGTTACCAGTTTTTAGAGTTGCACATTTGTTCCCTCATATTGCCCAAAGGTGAACAATGAGGTTTTTGTTTTGTTTTTGTTTAGTATCATTATGAATTCATGGACTTTAACATATTGTTATCTTTCAATACATGCATTTAAAAAAATTTATTTATTTTAATGCTCAAATTTTCACAACTTTGGCTAGTAGAAGTCTCTTCAAATTGGCTCCTGGGGCTTTAGATATGACTCCAGTGGTCTTGAATGGTTTCCTTGCTGTCTAGGCTCATTCTGCCCTCAAATGGAAATTATCCATTTTTCTCAGAAGCCATGTTTCTTTTGAATGGAAATGATATTTAAAAGTCACAGTTTTGGTCCTAGAGGTACTCATTTGCCTAATGTGTTGGTTGTTGTTTCTAGGCCTTCTCAATGGACAATAAGAAAATTTGAAAATGTCCTATAACTAGATAGTCATGGTGGTTGAACAGCTTTGTGACTGTAATAACTTGTAAACTTTAAAAGGGTGAATTTTATTGCATGTGAATTATATAAAAGTAGAATAAGCAAATAAATATTATGGGAAACATAAAAAAAGAACATTTGTTTTGATTTGTTAGAGAATACGTATTATGAATTTGGATTTATATTCCTAATTTAGATTTGTGAGTATAGGATATTTATTTAACTTTTTGGCTTTTGTTTTATTTTTCTTATCTGAAAACTTTGATTACTAACAGTTAACATAGTTAGTTGACTTAATTACCTGTATGATGGTAATATCTATATGTTTACTGAAAATAGTTTAAGATTTCTTTATCCCTTTTACCCTTAGAATGTTCATTTTCTGGGAAGTCTAGCTACCAATTTGATACATAGGTTTATTTGCTTCATTTTTAGTTATTGCTTTTTCAATTTTGATTTCATTTTGTTTTATGAATATATAAAACATTTGCATAGTTTCAAAATTAAATCTGCAAAAATTCCATCTCCTCCAACCCGTATGTATCCCTCCTTCCTGTGTACAACTTGAGTGTATTCTGTTTGATATATCCTTCGGGTTATATCTCTCATAATTTATACAATGAGTTGATCTCCTGTTGATAGACTCTTGAGTTATTTCCAATATTTTGCTGTTGTAAATATTGGAAACAACTCAATATTTGCCGCTTCTTTGTTGACCCTTTATCTTTGCCCTGATAGAGGGACGGCATCCTCCCAATTAATACTGTAACTAAGTAACAGTATTTGGGTTGCTCAAAGATAAGATCTTGACTTTGGTTCATCAGCAGGCCTTTATTTTGTGCTCTGTGTGCCTAGCACATAGTTCCTAGTAGTGGGGATTAAAGAGACATTTAGAAAGTGTTGTAGAGTATCCAGAATATTTTGAATGTTTAAAGATGACAGAGTTTAATGAAAATAGAGCTCTCAGGGAATAATTTTCAGAAAGATTTGATAAGTCTTAATAGTTGGGTTAACATTTAGGTTATTCTTTTCAATGTCATCATTTATCCTGTTCAGGTAGGGAAGCATGTAAATCTTGGCTGCTTCAAATCCTTTTATAAGAGGGATTACTTCTGTGATTGGAAGATCATTTATTAGCTTCTGTTATACTCCAGCTCTGGAGTCACACGATGTTTGGTCAGATAGCTCCCCTCAGACCTAGAAACCCACTTGGAAGGCCAGTCTGCAGTGCAGGAGGCAGCTTGGTGCAATAGATGGAGCCTGGCAGCGTAAGGTACTACTGTGTTTATTTTAGTGCCCTGAAGTTCCCATCATGAGACTTCTGCCTGCCTTTGCTTTTGTCTTCAGCACTGGTTTTCTCTGTTACTAAGACACTGATCTTTTGTGACTGTTGTTCTGTGACAGGCCCTTCTTCACCTCTTCATTTCTTGCCACTTTTTCCTGCTCAGTTTCAGGCAGTACATCCAGCAGCCCAGCCACCAGCGATTGCTCAGTTCCCTGTGGTATCGCAAGGAGGCTCTCAGCAGCAGCTGATGCAGAACTTCTACCAGCAGCAGCAGCAGCAGCAGCAGCAGCAGCAGCAACAGCAGCAGCTGGCCACAGCCCTGCATCCACAACAGCTGATGACTCAGCAGGCTGCCTTGCAGCAAAAGCCTGCCCTGACAGCAGTACAGCAGTCCCAGGCACAGTCTGCTGCAACCCCACAGCCAGCCCCTGCTCAGGAACCAGCAGTAAGACTCAGTCAGGGCTCGTAGCGCAAAAGCAGAAGAGGAGTGTGCAGTGAGGCCCAGGGGAAGGGCGAGAAGGAGGTGGCAGCAATGATGAGGGGGCCTCTATACTAGCGCTGGGTAAAAAATATTTGATCTGTTGTAGATGTGTCCCAAAACAGAAATAGTATGAGGTATTCTGTAGAAAGTAGAGAGAGGTTTCTAAAAAATGATACTAAGGCCAGGTGCAGTGGCTCACGTCTGTAATCCCAGCACTTTGGGAGGCTGAGATGGGAGGATCGCTTGAGCCCAGGAGTTCAAGACCAGCCTGGGAAACATAGTGAGACCTCATCTCTACAAAAAAAAACTAACTGGGCATGGTGGCATGTGCCTGTAGACTTGCTACTTGGGAAGCTGAGGTAGGATTACCCAAGCCCAGGAGGTTGAGGCTGCAGTGAGCCATGATCATGCCACTGCACTTCAGCCTGAGTGACAGAGCGAGACCCTGACACAGGGGGGGAAGAAATGACTCTAGGCTACTGAGGAAGAATGTGTGTGTGTGTGTGTGTGTGTGTGTGTTTCCCTCCTTTATTGTTACCCATAAAAGAACATTTATGTTTATCATTCGGAAATTAGGATGGTGGAAGGTAGCTGTTCATTGTCTCTGTCAATGCCACTTTCGACTAGACAAGGACCTAGGTAGAATGAATCTCTCTCCCTTCTTCAAGGGACAGTTTGATTCATTGTGTCCTTTTCTGTCTCTGGAGGCTTATGTGGGCCTGCATCTTTACCCTGAGTCCTGATAGTGTTGTGTTTATTCTTTGTCTTGGATGACATTACTAGCCACATCATTTAAGTCTACTTTGAAGCCCCCTTCAGGGTGCTGCTTGCCTGGACCCATTTATCATGGCCTAACCCCCCTGGGGCACCAGAGCATCTGAGTATCCAATCATTTGAGCAATCTCATCAATTTAGAAATTGGGCGCCAGGCTCGGTGGCTCAGCCTGTAATCCCACGCCTTTGGGAGGCTGAGGTGAGTGGATTGCCTGAGCCCGCGGGTTTGAGACCCGCCTGGGCAGCGAGACCTCATCTCTACAATAAATCAAAAAATCGGCCGGGCATGGTAGCGCATGCCTGTAATTCTGGCTACTTGAAAGGCTGAGGTGGATTGCCGGAGCCCAGCAGGTTGAGGCTGCGGTGGCCAGGAGCGGCCATTGCACTCCAGTCTGGGCAACAGAGTGAGACTCCAACTCAAAAAAAAAAAAAAAAAAAAGAAATTGGGCATCAGAATCCCTCTCCTGATTGGCCTCTACAGTTTCAGCATACTCAGGCACATCGTGCTTTGGCCTTTAATAAGTGATCTTTATTCTGCACTCTGATTTTTCTGAGTGATAGTGATAGAAAATTTCATAATGATAGGACGAAACATCTTGCATAACCGGCCAACAGAGTGTCACAGCTACCCTTTTATTCCCAGGGAAGTTCAACTACTAGATAAATGTAGGCAAAGTAAGAAACCATCTTTCTGAGGACTGGTTTCTGATAGAATTTTTTTTGCCCATCTTAAACCAGAAAACCTACATCCCTTCAAAAGGAGGCAATGCCGTAAATAGATTGTCCTTTTTAAGTCTCAGCTAAGTGTGTGTTCAGTGTCTTTACACCTCCATTTCCGAAACAACTCAGTCTTCTTGCAGTCATGTGGTAGACAGCCACACTTCGTATTTTTAATAAGAGATAAAGTTCCTCTTGTTTGTTTGAAAAAAGGTTTTCAAAAAATTATTACATGAAATAGGTAGAAGTGATCTTATCCAGTCCAGTCCCCTCATTTTATGGAATTGGAAACTGAGGCCCAGACTAGAATATAATTGCCCAAGACATACAGACTGACTGTAGCAGAGCTGGGGCATGAACCAAAGAATCCTGATCTGTATTTAAGGATCTAATAACAAATTCCCATTCAGGGTGATGAAATGATCAACTGCTACTAACTACATATCTTATGAGGCTTCCTTTTGCTTTCCCTGGACAAAAGTGTCCACTCTCTTGAGAGGGAATTATGAACCTTCTCCATGTTGTTGGGTGAAAAAATACTTTGAATACTTTGTTCTGGGATAATTGGTTTAGGTAACCAAGGGGCAATAGAAGCAAACTGTGCTTCAGCCAGAAGCCGTAGAACTTCCCAGCTTTGACTCATCCTTGTTTCCACTGACTCTTGGCAAGGTTTATCTAGAGAAGCAAGTAAATGAACGTAAAGAGTACCCGTAGCCATCTTAGAGTGATAGTCTGCAAAGGGAAAATGGCCATATGCCCTAGGTGTTTATTGCAATTTTAGTAATGGTCCAAAGAATGAAAATAACCCAAATTGTTTAGGACCCCAACTAAAAATCTTGGTTGTAAAGTCTGTACAGCAATATGGAAAAAAATGCTCACGAGGTAATGTTAAAAGAGTTGTGAAAGTATGTATTTAAAAATAGACTTAAAATAAGGCATCAAAAAAAGAGTGGTATTAGAGCTATGCAGTAGAAGTCTCTTCTCTCCATTTTTACACTTCTTGATGTGATTATACTCTTTTTATAATTACATTTTTAAAAATCTTTAATAAGATAGACATCTGAGTCTGCCCTTTTTTTCTTTCGTATGGCTCCTTCTCCCTCTTTCTAACTCCGTCTTTGGATGAAGAGACATCATGGTGTAAAAAAGAGTCTGGAGTGGCAGTCAGGAGAGACATGGTTCTGCTTTCCTTAACCTTGAGTCCTTGGATAAGCACTTGGCCTCAGTAGACTGTGGTCTCATCTCCAAAATGCAGGAGTTAGAATCTGTGTTCTCTAAGGTCCCTTTCATTCACATTCTTTGATTCTAAATGGAGATAAAACTGTCTGCTTGCCAAGGTTGCTGTGAGGAGTAACTGAACAGATGGGAGTTACTTTGTGTTAGTAGATTGCTGATGTAGGGTGAGGTGTCCCAATAGAGGCATCAGATCTTCATCATTCAGCATGTGGAGAAATGGTAAGGGGAAGGGAAAATGTTCTCCAAGTAGTGTGGCTTCTTCAAAATAAAGGGACTCTGCATTTCAGTACCCCTTTCAGTACTGAATGTCTCATGAAATAATCCAATCTAGTGTGTCCTTAAAGCCCTCTGGCCCCTGTGTATGTTGCATTTAGCTAGCTTTGTAATAGGCGCAACTCTGGACCCCTGAAGAAAGTTTGAAGTGGAGCTCTGATCTTCTTCACAGAGTACTCTGCTTCCCTTGAGTGAGGCAGCTATGCTAACCTTTGATTGATATTAGAACCTTATATTGTATCATTCAACTTGTTGGTAACATGGATGGTATACTGACATGTACGTATATATAATCTCCCTCGGGAAATTTTCAAGTCCCAAGGATGGTATAAGGACAGTCAATATTACAAGCTATAAGCATCCTGACCCAAGGAGCTAGACACTCTGGTTTCCCTAAACTCTCTAAGAGCCTACCTTCCTAAACAGAATTTGGGAACAAACTACAGCATGGAGCCATGACTCTGATCTGAGATGAGGGACTGGAGGGAAGGGATAGTTAAATCTCCAGGGCATTTCATATCTGAAATAATTTTATCTATAAATTGATAGCATTAAGGAAAGGGGTTGGGTGGCTTTTTAACATTTTTGTTCATTTTTCTTCATAAAGGTGATGTATGCTTAAGGACCGTGCATGTAGTCACAGGGATATTCCCACTTGTTTGTTGGTCTGTGGTGGCAGTTTGGCCGGTATTCTGAAAAGAGCCCACAAGTGCTTGTGTTATTAGCTCAAACACCATCAGAAACTTTTTTTTCTTCTTTCTCATTATATTCTCTGCCAGTTTTTCAAAGCTATTTCCAAACTGAAGATTGGAACAAGTTAATCCCACTAAACTAATGTTATACACTTTTTCAGGGGTTGTCACAGGAATAGGATGTTGTAGACCCATCCCATCAATGAAATAAACAGCCTTAACAGCAAATTAGAAAACATTCCCCTTTATTAATCACAGTGGAATTCTGTGACTCACTCCTCATCAGTAGGCCCAGCTATGGCAGAGAGTTGGGGATCTCTTAGCAGAAATCATCCAGCTTAAATGTGTTTGAGCTGGAGGTATGTCTTCATTGGCTTCTAACTGTAGCAACAGGGTCTACTGCCTGCCCTTTGGAAGCATTCTGAATGAGTTCCTATGTGACATTAGAAACAGAAAGTGGTCCTTTTAGATAAAGTCTACATCTTTAGAGCTAGGAATAGCTTTGATAATCTCAGACCCTGGACTGAATTACATATTGTTATCCTGTATATTATTATTGATGATTGAAATTTATGTTTAAGTACCGGGCAAATACTGTGTTGGTATCAGTCTCAGAGTTGCAGCTCAGATTGTCAAAGCCTGTTTTTTCTTCCTAGGTATTATTGATAAACTTCACCATTTGAGTCCCATGTTAGCTGTCATGGCATTTTTCTGTCATGTTTATCTGCTTACTTGTTTTTCCTTTTCCTCTTTGTTTCCCAATAAAACACTTCCCATCTCTCTTCCTCGCAGATTCAAGCCCCAGTAAGACAACAGCCAAAGGTTCAGACAACCTCACCTCCCGCCAGCCAGGGGCAGAAACTTGGATCTCTCACTCCTCCTTCATCCCCCAAAACCCAACGTGCTGGACATAGGCGGATTCTCAGTGATGTGACCCACAGTGCAGTCTTTGGGGTCCCTGCCAGCAAATCAACCCAGCTGCTCCAGGCAGCTGCAGCTGAGGCCAGTCTCAATAAGTCCAAGTATGTGGTACTTCCTCTTTGTTCTTCTTACCTTTTTGGCAAGGTCTCGCTAGGCTGTAACTGTGTGATTCTTTGCATAAGTACATAGATGTATGTGGATAGATTTGTAATAGTGTGTGTCTGTGTTTACTAAGCAAATGAATTTGCCTGTAGTACATAGACCATACTCATCATCAGAAATCGTTACCTACTTGGCCCAGTGCTCTACAGAATGTTTTCTAAACTCTTAACCTGAGACTGGGCGCAATGGCTTATCTTATGCCTGTGATTCTAACACTTTGGGAGGCCAAGGTGAGAGGATTACTTGAACCCAGGGGTTCAAGATCAGCCTGGGCCACATAGCAAGATCTAATCTCTACAAAAAAATTTGACAAACTACCTGCCTGGGCAAATTGGTAAGACCTCAGCTCTATAATAATAATAATAATAATAATAATAATAATAATAATAATAATAATAAAAAAAATAAAAAATTAGCCGGGTGTCGTGGCACACTCTACTTGGAAACTGAGGTGGAAGGGTCGTCTGAACCCAGCAGGTTGAGGCTGCAGTGTCCATGAGCGTGCCACTACACTCCAGCCTGGGCGGCAGAGTGAGACTCCAACTCAAAAAAAAAAAAAATTAGCTAGGCTGCTGGTGTATACCTGTAGTCCCAGCTACTTGGGAGGTTAAAACAGGAGGATCACCTGAGCCCAGAAGGTTGAGGCTGCAGTGAACCATGATTGTACCACTGTACTTCAGCCTGGGCATCAGAATGAGACCTTGTCTCAAAATAACTACATTAATTCAATAAACTGTTGATCCGACCAAGTCTGTCCATGCCGAATATCTTTTATTGGCTCCCCATTTTCTGACGGATGATGTCTGAACCCACTGCTTGACCCAGCAAAGCCTGTTGTCTCACACAGGGCACTTGCCACTCTCTACCTTCACGAGCCCTGGGTTCGTTCTGTCCTCTCTTCTGGGACTGCCTCCCTCCTGCTTACCAAATGCGAAATGCTCACTTATTCACCAAGATCCCTGTCAAAAGACACCTTTTCTTTAACCCTTTCTCTGGTATAATATATCCTTTTCTCTGGACCTTCTTTGATTATGTATTACATTATATTATTATTAATTATTTGTATGTCTGGCTAACCTAGCTTGTGAGTTCTCTAAGACAAGGGCGTTGTCTTAGTCAACCTTTGTAACCCCAGTGACTGGCTCTGTGCCTGACATAAAGTGGATTTTGATGAGTGTTGAGTAAATGCAGTTTCAGACACTTAGCGTTCATTGAACCATATACTCTTATACAGCCGAATTTAAATCTTTAGGCTAAGAGAGACTTTAAAAGAAAATTAAGCAATAATACCTACATACCTAGAATAGTGTAGCCATCTTAATTCTTTTTAACTGTGATGATGACCCTTAATTCTATGCATGCTAGATTCTGAAAAACGGGAGGAAGTCCAGGTAGGCCTCTCTCCCAGCCCCTTCTTTTATTGTAGATGTTATCATGGTCAGCATAGGTACACAGCCTAAGGAGAGGTTGCTCTTGGATCCTGAGAGACCACACAACTAAGCCAGACTAGAGAAGTAGTGGGAGGTAGTGGCTCACAAAGGAAAGGAGACGTTCGTTTCACAAAGTGGAAAAGATGTCTGTGGAAACTGTTCCATTGCTGTGGAAGCCTTTTAAGGAAAACACTGGAAAATGATGGCTTGATTCAGGAAAGAATGTGATCCTGAAACGAAGAGTAAATAGGTTGACGCTTTTTGTTTTACTCAACTTTTATATGTCTTTTTATTTCGCGGGGGTGGGAACCTACCTAGGTCTGCCACCACCACTCCATCAGGCTCTCCTCGGACCTCCCAGCAAAACGTTTATAATCCTTCGGAAGGTTCTACGTGGAATCCCTTCGATGATGACAATTTCTCCAAACTCACAGCTGAAGAACTGCTAAATAAAGATTTCGCCAAGCTAGGGGAAGGTGAGTAATTTATGTCTCTTTTGTGTTCCTTGATTACAAATTCTCTGTGCTGAGAAATAACCAGGAATTAAAGTGAATCTTAACTCTAGAAGGGGGTATACATGTGAAAATGTAGGCTTGGGCCTTTCCTTAAGGGCTTGATTAAAAGTATGTATATAAGTCATTTTTTGTTTTTACTAGAGCACTAAAGTCTCTTCATCTTCAGGAAGCCCTGGTCTATTGTAAGTGGCAGCAAGGAACATGTGATGCTTAGGGAATAATTGGTTTAGTTTGTTTTGTTGTAGTTCTATTTTTCTGTTGCCCAGGCTGAAGTGCAGTGACTTAATCATAGCTCACTGTAACTTTGAATTCCTGGTCTCAAGTGATCCTTCTGCCTCAGCCTTCTGAGTAGCTAGAACTGTAGGTGCACGCCACCATGCCTGGCTAATTTAAAAAAATTTTTTTGTAGATACAGGATATTATTATGTTGCCCAGGCTGGTCTCAAATTCCTGGCCTCAAGCAGTACCCCCTCCCACCTTAGCCTCCAAAAGTACTAGGTGTGAACTACTGAACCTGATTGATAAGGAAAGATTTGGTAGCATAGGTCAAGTAGATAGCACCAGGCATGGTACTCCTTGGAACAGTGTGGTGGTTCCTCATCCTAGGTGGGTTTTTTGGTCCCAGAAAGTTGTCACTGCTCGTCCATGAATGTGTCCTCATTTGGACACTGAATCCTTCACTGTGATCAGTCCTGCATTACTGTTGAGACCACAGAAAGAAGATTAAGTAAATAGAATATTCAATTCTGCTTAAAAGACAGTCTAACTTGGAAGGCAGCATACACACACACACACACACACACACACACACACACAAGCACATGCACACACTCTGGAAAATAACAGATACATCCTGAAAAAATTCTGAAATAGACAGTTCAAAGAGTACTTCAGTGTAGACAAGAGTTGCAGGGTAAAGGAATGATCAGAACTAAGTGATATGGACCATGGACCAAACATTTTGGCCTTATTATTTTATAGAAATCTTTAAAAAATGATATTACTTTCCTGCCTTTTAAAATGGAAGATAGGGCATAGGATTTGACTTTATTTAACAACTCAGTTTCATTGTTATGTGTACTATTTATTGTTCTGTAATATAAACAGAAATACCTTCATAGACTATTGAAAACTATAGTATTTTTACACCCGAATAGCTAGACCCTGAGTTTTAATAATTTCCTGTCTCTCTTCTTACTGCTCAGCTGTCAGCATTCACATTAAGCTACTGTCATTATGCCTGTCCCTTATAACATCTCATTATGCCATCTCCACCACTCCCTTTTCTCACTTGCCCTCCCTAAACTGCTTCCAACATGGAAAACAGATCACCAAACTCTTTTAGAATTATGTAAAAGTCAATAGATTCCACGTGAGGGCTGAGGGCATTCTAACCTAATTAATATGCTTGAGCTTTAGGGTTCTACCTCTGTGCCCTCTCTTTTCTGTTATGTTTATTTATTTCTTTTAAATGTTTAATTGCAGTAAAATGAACATAACAAAAACTACCCTCTAATTAAGTGTACAGTTCAATAGTGGTAAGTATATTCATACTGTTGCACAACCAATCTCCATAACTTTTTTTTGTCTTGCAGAACTGATGATGTGCTACCTCTTTGAATTCTCTGCATTTCTTTTTGAGTCGGAGTCTCACTCCGTCACCCAGGCTGGGGTGCAGAGGCACACTCATAGCCACCCCAGCCTTCTAAGTAGCCAGAACTACGGTTGCGCACTACCACACCCAGCTAATTTTTTTTTTATTTATTGCAGAGACAAAGTCTACACCAAGTTGCCCAGGCTGGTCTCGAAACCTTGGGCTCAGGCAACCCACTCACCTCAGCCTCTCAAAGTGCTGGGATTACAGACTGAGTCACCGAGCCTGGCCTCTTTTGTTTCTTAGCAACTTTCTTCTTTGTCTCAGCTGTTCTCTCAGTCATTGCAACAACTAGACAAGGACCTTGGAAGAGCCAAGGTGTTGCCCTAATGCAGTAAAAGTATTCACGTCCAGAAGTCAGTTCAGAGGGTGCCCTTCACCTCAGACCTGTGTATATGCATCACAGGATTCTGCTAGAATGAACTGAGTGGTGTTTTGTCCCTCCAGGCAAACATCCTGAGAAGCTTGGAGGCTCAGCCGAGAGTTTGATCCCAGGCTTTCAGTCAACCCAAGGTGATGCTTTTGCCACGACCTCATTTCCTGCTGGAACCGGTTAGTATGGCAAATGCCTGAAACACGAGTTTCACTGTTATGACTTTCACACTGTTTTCCATTCCACAGATAACTCTAGCATGTCAGTGAGGCTCAAATCCTGGCAGTGACATATATTCAAAAGCTTTCCAATCAAAAAGGTTAGTGAAAGCTCTAGAATCACTTTGAATTAAAGTAACAGGATGATCTGGCAGTAATAAGCAGGACTATTCTATCTAGTACATGAACATGTCATAAGCAAGTTCCTCAAGCTCTACTAAACTGTGTTTGTGTGTGTATGTGCATGCTTTTGGTGGGGGGGGTTAAATGAGATTTTTTGAAATTATAGAAGCAATAATAAGACACTAATTTTCCCTTTTATTAATAAAACACATGTATATTTATTATATAAAAGTTAATAATTCATAGAGAAGAAAGTTAAAATCCTCCATGATCTCACCACTGAGCGAGAGCACAGGAATTGTATCTTGATGTCTGTTAGTAGCATCTAACCTTTTTAAGATCAAGATAGCTTTGTGAATCTAATGAAAGTTATGGATGTTCCTCCCAAAATACATGTGACCAAATTTTGTACAATTTTAGCTCCCTTTCCCTTGCTTAAGATGCTGATATATATCTGTATAGTCATATTTTAAAACCTAATTTTTTCACTTGATAAACGTGATATGGGCTAGGCATGGTGGCTCACACCTGTGATCCCAGCACTTTGGGAGGCTGAGGCAAGAAGATTGCTTGAGCCCAGAAGTTCAAGACTAGCCCAGGCAACATGGTGAGACCTTGACTCTACAAAAAATAAAAAAATTAGCCAGGTGTGGTGGCACATACCTGTAGTTCCAGCTACTCAGAAGGCTGAGGCAGAAGGATGCCTGAGCCTAGGAGGTTAAGGCTATTGTGATATGATCATGCCACTGCATTCCAGCTTGGGTGACAGAGTAAGACCCTGACTCAAAACCTAACATGTTTTCCCTACTTCATTAAGGAAGCTCCTAAATGTAATTTTTAAAATATCTGCATTTAATTTCATTATATGAACGTATCCTAATGTATGTAGCCACATGCTTCTTTTTAAAACATTAACTTGATGTCAGTATTTTACTATTGCAAATGCTTCGGCAGTGGACATGAACTATGAAAATATTCTTTGTAGAATCTTTTTTTTCAATATTTTTTATTATGGTTTTGTGGGGTACAGTTAAGGGTTAGGTGTATAAGTACGTTTCATTCAGGCACCCTGTTGATAAGAGGTGTTTCCCCTTCCCCAGACAGATATTTGTACTGTTAATCCCATCTCCCTCCCCCCCCCATAGTTTCCCAGTACCGTCAGTCCTTTTCTTATAGTATTACATTGGATGTTCAAGGTCCATTATATGAGTGAGAACATGTGATACTCGGATCTTTGTTTCTGTGAGAGGTCACTCAGTATTATAGACTCTAGTTCCATCCAGGTTGCTGCGAAATTCTTGATTTTATTCTTTTTTATGACTGCGTAGTATTCCATCGTGTATATGTACCACATTTTTTTAATCCAGTCCTCTTTTGATGGGCAGCATGGTTGTTTCCAGGTTCTTGCTATTGTGAACAACACTGCAATAAACATACATGTGCAGGTATCTTTTTTATAGAGTGATTTGAGTTCTTCAGGGTATATTCCCAGTAGGGGGATTGCAGGGTCATATGGGAGGTTGATATTTAGAGCTTTTAGGAATCGCCACACTGCTTTCCACAGAGGTTGCACTAGTTTACACTCCCACCAACAGTGTAGAAGTGTTCCCTTTTCACCACACCCTCTCCAGCAGCTGTTATTTTTTGAGTTGTTGATAATTGCCATTCTGACTGGAGTTAGGTGGTATCTCAGTGTGGTTTTGATTTGCATCTCCCTGATGATTAGTGAGGTTGAACATTTCTTCATGTGTTTGTTGGCTGCTCGGATGTCCTCTTTTGTGAAGTGTCTGTTCATATCTGTTGCCCATTTTATAATGGGGTTTTTTGTTTTTTTCTTTTCAGCATGTTTTAGTTCCTTGTAGATCCAGGATGTTAAGCTTTTGTCAGACCTGGTGTTGGCAAATACTTTTTCCCAGTCTGTAGGCTGTCTCCTTGCTCTCTTGATGGTTTCTTTGACCTTGCAGAAGCTTGTCAGTTTGATAAGGTCCCACTTGTCTGTCTTTTCTCTTATGACCTGTGGGTTTCGGGTTTTATTCAGGAATTGGATGCCAGTTCCGATTTCCATGAGGGTATTTCCTTCATTTTCTAATGTGCTTCTAAACTTGATCCTTTTAATTATGCTGATTAATTTCTACTTTTAATCTTGTAATGTATTCTTTCTGCCCACTTTCTTTAAGTATGCTAGTGGTTATTCTAACCTTCATAAATTGATTTCTGATTAAAACTTTGTCTGCCATTTTATACTATTTGGTGTATAATGCTCTCTTATTCTCCTTGATTTCTGGGTATTTTTAAATTGAAGTTTTGATTTCTTCTGTATGTAAGAGTTACTATGTTTTCATTGCGTTGTGACTGATGTGGCTTAAGCAGTCTTTGCTGTAGGTTATTACCGAGAGGCTATCTGTGGCCCAGTTTATTTTTCATTTTATAAATGTCCTCTGAGAATTAGTAGTTTTCCATATCAATACATAGTAGTCTACAATATGATTATTCCTGGAAGAAAGTAATATTTAATATCCCCTTTTATGTATATTTAAGTTGTTGCCAATTTTTTGCCGCATAAATATTCCTGAAGCTAGATTTTTGTTTATATCATTCATAATTTTTCTAAGATAACTTCTAGCAGACTATATGCTAAATCAAAAGATATGTATATTTTAAGACTTTTGATACATATTTCCAAATTGTCCTTTGAGAAAACTACACAGATTTTGTTTCAATCAACAATGAATGAGAGTCATTTTTCTTCCATTTCCCTACCCAGTCCAGTCCAAAGGCTTTAGACAGAGGACATTACATACTAGCCTTTTGGGGGGAGGGAAGAGAATTTGTATTGTCCCTGTTCTTTGCCATTTTAAAATTAATTTGTAAGTGTTCTTCATATGTCATGTATTGTAAACTTTTTCCCCAGTTTGTCATTCGTGCTCTATGAATTTGGCCTCATCTAACCCTCTCAACAATGCTTTGAAGTTGATAGATCATCCCCACATTGGTTACAGTTGAGGTAACTGAGGCACAGAGAGTCCCTTTTCTGCAGTGACTTGCTAGCAGGTAACAGGGATGGGACATAGACCCTCTGCTCCAGAGCCTTCTCTCAGGTTTTCTCCCTCTTAATGAGGCAACTTTCATAATTATCTTTTACTAGAAAATCACCTACAGTTTTAACATTTTTAAATTAAAGTAGAACAGGCCAAGCGTAGCAGCTTTTACCTGTAATCCGAACCTTTGGGAAGCCGAGGTGGGAGGAATGCTTGAGCCCAGGAGTTCAGTCTCTTTTTCTTCGTAACTCCAACTAGAGGTTTGCTATTTTATTATCTTTTCAAAGACAATTCAGATTTATAAAATCTGCTGTTTTTCTGTCTTATTTTGTAACTTTTGCTTTTATCTTTATTATATTTCCCTGTTTTTCTTTTTCTTTTTTTGAGTTGGAGACTCACACTGTCACCCAGGCTGGAGTGCGGTTGCACGCTCCTGGCCACTGCATCCTCAACCTGCTAGGCTCCGGTGATCCTTCCACCCCAGCCTTCCAAGTAGCCAGAACTACAGGCATGTGCTACCATGCCGGCTAATTTTTGATTCATTGTAGAGACGGGGTCTCATCAAGTTGCCTGGGTGGGTCTCGAACCCGCGGGCTCAGACAATCCACTCGCCTTGGCCTCCCAAAGTGCTGGGATTACAGGCTGAACCACTGAGCCCGGCCCTATGTGTTCTTAAAAAAAAATTCTTTAAAAAAAAGGATGGGCGTCATGCACCCCATGCCCATCTGTAGTCCCAGCTACTCGTGAGGCTGAGACCAGAGAATCTCCCAAGTGCAGGGAGTTGAGACTGTAGTAAGCCGTAATCGTGCCACTGCTCCAGCCTGGGTGACGGAGTGAGACCCCTACTCAGAAAAGTTAAAACAGAAAAAGGTATGTAGGCTCTGAGTTTTTTCTCAGTGTAACAGTCATTTTCCACCAGTGCACAAGTGAGGACGGAGGCCAATTATAATCTTCAGGGAGGATTTTTCACCTGAGGATCTTCCAATAACCTTTTAGCTCTTTCTTCTTCCAGTTGCCCCCATTTCAACCCCTGAGGATTATACTGTTTATTGAGAGTGCTTTCCGATAAGTATGTGTTTCCCTACTAAGAAAAAACTGGAGTTATGTGGAGCTTTAACCATAGCTCACAAGTCTTCATATGATATTCTCATTATTATTATTTTATTTTTGAGTTGAGGATCTCACTCTGTTGGTCAGGCACAATCATGACTCACAGCGCCCTTGACCTCCTGGGCTCAGATGATCCTTCCACCTCAGCCTCCTGAGTAGCTGGGACTATAGGCACGTGCAACCATGCCTGGCTAACTGATTTTATTTTTTGTAAAGACAAGGCTGGTCTCAAATTCCTGAGCTCAAGCGATCATCCCACCTGGGTCTCCCAAAGAGCTAGGATTATAGGCATGAGCCACCATGTCCAGCCTTATTATTATTTTAAGAGTTATATGGGAGTTATACTTTTTGTTAGATAATTTAAATTTTTTCTTATTTCATTTTTAGCTTTATTATTTGTTCTGTGTAAATTTTAAACATATTGATATTTTGGTCAGGTTTAAAAATTTTCTTGAAGTTTGCTATGCCACATGGCTGACCAGACATATCAACTGTATCCTTGAGATAGAACATCAAAATAACTAGTCATGGGCCTGGGTAGGATATAGTTTCTCTGGCAAAAGGATCATGGAATAAGTTCTGGGAGAGTTTTCTTTGCTGCTAAATCCCAGCATTTAGCACAGTTGGGCTCAGTACAGGTTTGCTGAATGAATGAGAAGGGTTTCTTTGTGCCAGAGCCTAGGATTGTGGATTTACCAGTATTAACAACAGAGGTCCCTAATCATATTTTGTCCACTTGCCCTACCACCCTCAGTTTTAATGCCTAATTTTCATTTATTACATATGGTTATGTTTCATTGTCCATGTGAACTGGCTTTTTTTAAAAGAGGTTTATTTTGGTTTTATTTTTACCTTTCTTTCCCTATTTATATTTGCTTTGACATCTGCAAATGGCAGTTTTTTGTTTGTTTGTTTTTGAGAAGGCAGGATTTATTGAGAAGACAGAAAAGCTCCCACAGTGGGAGGGAACCCGAGGAGGTTTCCCAGCTATATATATATATATATATATATATATATTCTTTTTCCTTGAGTTGGAGTCTCACTCAGTCACCCAGACTGGAGTGCAGTGACACACCCCTGGCCACTGCAGCCTTGACCTGCTGGGCTCCAGCAATCCTTCTGCCTCAGCCTTCCTAGTAACTGGAACTACAGGCACGCGCTACCATGCTTGGCTAATTTAAAAAAAAATTTATTGTAGAGACGAGGTCTCGCCAAGTTGCCCAGGAGGGTCTTGAACCCATGGGCTCAGGCAATCCACTCACCTTGGCCTCCCAAAGCGTTGGATTACAGGCTGAGCCACCGAGCCTGGCGATTTTTTTTTTTTTTTGGAGTTGGAGTTGGAGTCTCACTCTGTCACCCAGACTGGAGTGCAGTGGCCGCTTCCGGCCACCGCAGCCTCGACCTGCTGGGCTCCGGCGATCCTTCCGCCTCAGCCTTCCGAGTAGCCGGAATTACAGGCATGCGCTACCACGCCCAGATGATTTTTTGATTTATTGTAGAGATGAGGTCTCGCTGCCCAGGCGGGTCTCGAACCCACGGGCTCAGGCAATCCACTCACCTCAGCCTCCCAAAGGCGCAGTATTACAGGCTGAGCCACCAAGCCCGGCTTTTTTTTTTTTTTTTTGGGTTGGAGTCTCACTTCTTCACTCAGGCTGGAGCGCAGTGGCACACACACTCACGGCCACTCCAGCGTCGACCTTCTGGGCTCCAGCAATCCTTCTGCCTCAGCCTTCTGAGTAGCTGGAACTACAGACCCGTGCTACCATGCCTGGCTATTTTTATTTTATTGTAGAGACGAAGGCTCACCAAGTTGCCCAGGGTGGTCTTGAACCCGCGGGCTCAGGCAAGCCACTTGCCTCGGCCTCCCAAAGTGCTGGGATTACAGGCTGAGCCACCGAGCCCAGCCTATTTTCAAGATGACTTAAAGCCCCGGCCACAAATACATTTTAGAGTAAAGTTATGACTGTAATAAAAATAGCGTACATGTACCTAGCACATGGGACATGCTCAGCCCACTGGGTAAGTGTTTTTTCTGCACATTATCTTAGGTGACCCCCCAACAACCCACCTGCCCAAGGGCACAGCTGGAGAATGACAGAATCGAGATTTGTACCTGGACAGCACAGCTCAGAGGCTGTGGTTGTAAGCACATCTCAGGAATCTTGTAATCAGTGACACTAAGCTTTTACAAACATTGCAGAATGTCCTCAGATTTTCCCCAGTGTATTCCCAGTATTTTTCTATGAGCATTTGGTATTTTCTCTTCTTTCTTGTTTGTGGTGTGAATATGTCTTTTCTGTGACATCTTCATTCTGTACAAGCAATAGAAAATTACATCTAGATCACAGATACTCATTTGTCCTCACTTGTATGAAGTGTAGGATGGTACCATTTTCTATGAATATCTAATTAAGCTCAGATTGTTGACAGATTCTAAACCTTCTGACTGATCAAAGGAGAAGCTAAGCAGGAAATTTCATCATGGATTAGGGAAGATGGCACAAGGGTTATTTAAAAGCTGCAAAAATGTTGTTGAACTGTGTCTGTACATTGAAGGAGAACAGGCAATGTCTAAAACTTTTGACCGCATGCCTCTTTATTTCAGATGTTTCCTTGTTGATAAGTTATACACATTCATTTGTAAAAATTTTGTGAAATGAGCAAAAGCCCAAATAAACAAGAAAAAAAATAAAACCAAACCCATAACCCCATTCTATGAGAAGATCATTTGTTGACATTTCACAGTATTTATATCGAGAATTTTATTTCTGCATATAAGCTTTTTTCACACGTGACTTATACCATATATTCAGTTTTGTAATTTGCTTTTTTTCTTTCAAATGTTTCATTGTGTTTCAATCTAAAGTATTTCAGAGACTTGAGAGCAGTGATTTTGTCCTTCTTCCTTCTGCCTTTAGAGAAACTTAGTTAAAATCTACTTTAATGACAAAAGTGTAGATTGAGGACAGGTTAGTGGTTCCCAAAGAACAGCAACAGAAGTGAGGGGTGGGTGTGACTGTAGAATGAAGGTTGTCTTTTGCTTGATCGACAGTTCTGTGTTTGATTGTGGTGGTGCTGATACTAACCTATACATGGAATCGAATTGCAAAGTACTATACATATTTATTTTTAAATGAGGTGTAATGAAACACTCAAAACATAAAAGCACATTATAAAACTGCCAGGCTGCCTGTTGAGGGGACATCCCTGTGCCTCCCCTTCCCTTCTGCCACATGTGGGCATTGACACCCCAGTCTGTCCCTGCTGCCTTTGTCTCCTGTGCATCTGACTGATCTGGGGTGGGGGGCCTCCTGCATGCCTGACAAGGGCACGCACCACCTGTGCTGCCTCCTCCCCCACATCTGGACCTGGGGTGCCGGGTTCCCACAGTTCAGAGACCTCTGGGATGGAAGCTAGTGGCTTCTGTCTTTGAAGCAGGTTTGGGGAAGGTGGCCAGGTTCCAGGGCCCAGACAGTCATCCCACCTTTGTCTATCACATTGTCTTGCGTCTCCTACTGCATCTTGCTTGCCCTGAGAAGGTGGTTTTGAGGATGGCACAGGAAGCTGCTGCAACAGTGACAGAGTCTGTTCAGGGGACTCTAGGTACTGGGTAGGGGAGGGCAAGGTATTGGGGAACTGCGGACTGAGCTCTCAGAGGGAAAGGAACTGCAGAGAAAGAGGCCCCATCAGCCTGCCAGCTAGGAGGGACATAAAGAGTAAAGGTGGGTGGATGGGCAACCTAGGCAACAAAGTGAGACTCCGTGTCTACAAAAAATAAAAAAGTAAACTGGGTATGGTGGTGCATGCCTGCACTCCCAGCTGCTCAGGAGGCTGAGGCAGAAGGATTGCCTAAGCCTAGAAGGTCAGAGCTGTAGTAAGCTATGGTTGTGCCACTGCCTTCCAGCATGGGTGACAGAGGGAGACCCTGACTCAAAAAAAAAAAAAGATGGGGGGACTGGGAAACTCATCCATTTTTTTACAGCTACTTGACAGACCCCAGAGGACCCTCCTTAGTCCAGAGGCAGAGCTGGAGAGAGAGCCCAAGAATCAGAGACAAAGAAAGAGATCAGAGCCAGATGCCCACAGAGTTGTTGCCAATAATACCCATACATGCCCAGCATTTTGACTACTCTGTAAGCCCATACAATACTGAGGCTTAAAGAGGTGAAGAGAAATGAACCACACCTGGTGGCTCAGTCCAAAAGGGTTAGTCAGGGATGCTAGGCTTTAGGACTTCCAAATTCAGCCAAGCACCACTCAAGCTGAGAAGGAGGACTTTGGGGCATTTAGAAAGACAGAGGGGTCCAGGAGAGGATGGAGCCAGAGTATATGTGAGTGAGACAGGGTGGGGCAGAGGGAGAACAGGGCAGACAGTGTGTCGGGGGTGCTCCTGCCTCAGGACCACTGTGGTGCTGTTGGAGCCAGTGGTGTGGGTGGCATGGGCACTGAATGAAGAAAAAGAGAGCTCTGCACATGTACACACAAAGGGGTGCTCATAGAAACTGGTGAGAATGGAATAGCTCAGGCAACAGTACTGTACCGGTGCCTGTGATCCTGTACTACAGTTGTGTAAGATTTCACCACTGGGAGGAGCTGTCTGAAAGGGTCACAGCACTCTGTATCAGCAACTTCCTGTGCTTCTGTAACTATTTCAAAATAAAATTTTTTTGAAAACCCACTTCATAAAATCAAAATGATATTTTAAATAATGAACACATTAAATACTAAAATGAAATGTAAAGAATGACAAAGCTGGGTGTGGTGGTACACACCTGTCATCCCAGCTACTAGGATTGCTTGAGCTCTGGAGTTTGAATCCCGCATGGGCAACATGGTGAGACCCATCTCTTTAAAAAAAAACAAAATGTGGTTCTGATCCTACCTGTGGCCAGTATCTTAACTTATGGGCTTCATTTTCTTTTCTGGAAAATAAGGAAATTGTGCTAGAAAATTCTACGATTTCTTCTAGCCCTGATATTCCATAGGGTATATAGATTTCTGCAAATCTATAATTTGCCAAATATAGAATGAATGCCAATAGCATGTTAAGTATAGTCCACAGGTCAGGGCTTGTCTAACCTTGCAATAAACAAAAAGTGTGTATCTGCCCTTTCTGTGTGTCTGCCTAGACGCTCTATTAGACACTGGCTGATACAGTAGGACTTAGTCCCTAAGGGACCTCAAAAGGGTGATGGGTACAGAGGAAGCAGCTGTACACATGTGCTAGGTTATAAAATAGTGCTGTGTTTGTTTATGTGTCAAAATGTGTGGTATGGACAATACTTCCTATAGGAATTCCACTGCAGGCTGCAGCATCCAAGGAAGAAGTCGAATATCCTGGTTTTGTCATCAGTTGTGTCTCATAGTGTGTTACATGGACGGGATCATGTATCTCATAGATACTCTACTGTTCTACTGGATTCTATCCACTCATCCTCCTTTATTCTAAGTTTAGACTTAACTCTATAGTTTGCATTAATAGATGGTAAGCTCATCTAGATTTACTTGATGTTTTTTGCTTTTCTCTTTTTTCCCTCTCTTGACTTCCCTTTCTCCTCCAACCAACTGCAGCTGAAAAAAGGAAGGGTGGGCAGACTGTGGACTCTGGCCTCCCGCTTCTAAGCGTATCTGACCCTTTCATTCCTCTCCAAGTACCTGATGTACCAGGTAGGTAAATGGAAATGATCTGAAGCTACGCAGCTTGGCTTGTATGCCACAGGGCCTCTGAAGAGTTCTGTTTTAAACACTCTATGAGAAAGATCTGAATTCTAAGCCCTAATATTAGAATGCTGCCATATATTTTTAATGTCTCCCAGTAAGAGGGGCAGATTTGTCTTGAGGGCTGCCAGCCCTTAGCAAAGACAATGAAACCAGTTCAGATTATACCAAATTATATTCCATAGCAGATCAGTGTTCAGTTTTCCATTCTTGGTTGTGCTAATGGTAATGGGAGGGGCCTGTCTACTAGAAAGAACATTAGTATGATTATAGCAATGGGGAGGACCTATAAGTATGTGACAAGAGGAACAAAATGTGAGTAGTGGGACCTCTAAGTGTGTGACAAGAGGGATAAAATGTTAGTATGATAATGGGATTGTGGGTGACTTTCTGCCAGTTCTTACTTTTCTACAATGTACTTTTATTTTATATAATGTACTTTTATTTATATAAGAATACATAATAAAGGTTAATACGGAATATGAATAAGTCGGGAGACCTGGGTTCCTTTTCCAGGCTTTGCCACTTCCTGAAAACCTTCTGGGCTTGCCTCTTCCCCTCAGTGAAGTAACTTGGACTGCAGAAGTTTGAACATTCCTTTTAGTCTGCCACATCCCAATTTTCAAGTAAGCAGTTTAAAAAGTAGCGCTCTCATGGAAACAGCTTTTAGAACAGTGGTTGACTGCTTCCCATTTGGAGTTCATAATGCCAGAGATTTCCCTTCCTGTGCTCTTCCCCTGCTGTTTTGGGGCAGGGGGAGTGAGTGTGGGGAGCAGGAGCCACCCTTCCTCTTCTGATCAGTTTTTTTGCAAAAGGAAATAATTCCAACTCTTAGACCATCATGGTTTTTTTTGTTTTGTTTTTTTCTCATAGTGTTTCCTTTTTTCCCGTTCTTACTGCTGCCAATTATTTACCTTGAGCTGATGGAATCGGCTTGGTTTTTCTTCTCTCCCAAGATGTTAAAATTACTTGATTGCTTGCCTCCAGATTGGAAGTGATTATAATGTTTGTATCTTTTACTTACTAAGGCAGACTATAGCTAGAGTACCAAGACGGTTTTACTTTTTTAGACAGTTTGTTGACCCATCTAAGGGGAAGCAAACATTTGCCTCAGCCTCCCAAAGTATTACTGTGTAGCTTTATCACTCGCTGGACCTGAATGTGTCTCAAAATATCTAAAATCACCAAGGAATGGTTCAGCTCAGGGTGATTAAAGTCAAGGGAAGAAAGGAATCCAGTTGAGGACCTCTTTTCTTTTGCTCCCTTCAAGTGTGCATGGCAGTACTTGGACAAGCCAGTTTTGAGCAGGAGAATGCAAAAGGTAGGCTGTAAACTCAAGCTGGGGCCCACTGCCCTCTCTTCATCCCTGTTGTGGCAGTCATGGGATCAGACAAGGGAAAGGGGCTTGAGGACATTCTCCCTGTGACGCCCCTTTGGGTTCTGGCTGTGCAGTTGCCTAGATAGTCCAAACCAAGCAGAAGGCCTGTTTGCCTGGGGCAGAGGATGAGGGCCCACAGGCGAGTAGCTATCTTGTGCAGCTGTCACAGGAGCCCCCTAGATCAGGGTTGACAGGCCAGGCACTCGCACCAGGTGGCTCAGGAGATTGGCTTCAGGTTATGGAGATGAGGCTGTGGCCACCATTGCTAACTGGCCACCTACTAATCCTCCATAATCCTCTCATTCTGGTGGATTCTGGCTGAAGTGTTACTGGTATACACTGTAATACCAATTGAACCAAAATCTCTTTTGGACTTCAGTGGAAAAAATTATTAAAATGAGACTTTCTATTTTTATTTTAGATTCAGGAGGCACTCCTGCATGTTTGTTACGAGGGCATATTGTGCAGTGGTGGGGATTGGGTCTCAGGTGGCCTATTCCCCAGATGGTGACCATTGTACCCAATAGGTAATTTCTGAACTCTAGTCCCCCTCCTCTCCTCCTCCCTTTTTGGTGTCCCCAGCATCTATTACTTTCATTTTTTTGGCCTATTAGCTCTCTCATATGACTGAGAACATGCAGCGTTTGGTTTTCTGTTTCTGAGTCAGTTTACTTAGGGTGATGGTCTCCAGCTCCATCCATGTTGCTGCAAAGGACATGATTTCATTTTTTTTTTTTTTAATGTTTGCGGAGTATTCAGTAGAGAATTCCAGGAATGTCTTATTTGCTTTCTGATCTGTCAAACCAGACTCATTTGTTGAAAACATAAATTAGACATGTAACTCCTTTGTTCTCATATTATTGAGAAAGCATAAATTTCAGACTTCTTTTTTTTTTTTTGAGTTGGAGTCTCACTCTGTCGCCCAGACTGGAGTGCAGTGGCCGCTCTCGGCCACCGCAGCCTCGACCTGCTGGGCTCCGGCGATCCTTCCTC